GACATAAAATTCTTTTTCTTGATAACCTTTAAATAGTCGCGTCGGGTTTAAATGACCCTGCGATACTTTTATTGACTACATTTAATATATAAAAAATTATTGGGGGAGACGGGGGAGAGGATCCAATACAACCTCCAAATTTCTTTGTCACTTCCCTTCGATGCTGCTAAAGTCGTCGAAAGTATATGTAGTCTATCAAAATATGAGGTTCTGATCTGATGCAGTGTAGTGCCTTGAAAATAGTTTTCATAAATCAGTATCTTTATTGCTGTTCTATGTTGTGTTGATATATCTAAGAAACTTTTTAAAATTCACTGTAAGAATATTTGTTAGCGTTGTGTGGGAAATATGCAAAATGTGTCTTGAACTGCTTCATTCTGTTCTTTTAAAAAACAAAAAGTGCTTATTTAAAAAAAATCGAAGTGCTTAATTTAAACCAGTTGTTCTTGTTCTATTTCATAAATCCGCGTTTTTGGCGTTCCTCTATATTGCTGTGATGCTTATAAGAACAAAACATTAATAAGGGATGCCTAAAGGAATGTAATGGTTAAATACGATCCAACGCCTGTAGTTATGTAACTTTCTGCACGCAACTACTTAAGGGTTAAGCAATTTACACTACATAGCGAATCTTCATAGCCAATTTACACGTTACTGATTTACATATACTAGATACCGGAATAAGACGCAGTTTTATTCTGACGGAAACCACATACGACGTACGGTTGACAACTGCGTTGAAATTAGTGCGTATTAACGCCATCTATACCTACGGCTTCTTATCTATATCCCATTAACGGAAAATGACACTGTTAACCATACAGGCAGTTTTCGTGCTCCCGTTTCCCTCTTTTCTGCTAAGCGGCTCCTCTGTCGATAAGTTATAAAAAATTTCCCAAAAAACTAAGCCCAAAACACACGTACTTCTACCAGCCAAGTACTAAAGCCATATATCAACGCCTTAAAGGGTTTAAAATTGGAAAATGCTAGAAAACGTCAGTGACTCGATGGGATGAGTCGTCACTGTTTTGAAGCCATGCAAACCAATGACCGCAAGTTAAAAACTGTGAGTGCGACTTACTAATTAAAACCAGGTATTTGCATATGGCCCATGTCGTAGTTGTCGTTCAGTCGGTTAGGAGGGCAGACAGCTGTTCCGAGAGAGGTATTTGATGAACAGCCTGAAAATCACAATCAATCAATCCTCGCAGTGATAAACTCGCCTACCTCGATAGGTTGGTCGGTCGTCCTGCCGCTCGTTACTTTTTTTACGACTCGGCATCGGCCTTTTGATCAAAGAGCCGCACCCTGGCTGGTGCATACAATGAATTCCGTCAAATGAAACGAACTCACAGACACTTGTGTGTATGTGTGATGCCGGGACTGCGAAACGGCGAGAACGCGATGCCGGAAGAAACTCTGCACATTTTTAAGCGTACCCTGGTGACCAAGCATTTCATCTTCGTCAGCCAAACAGTACTGACTCGTCTCTGGGTCACACACCAAGAGTACGCCGAAATACCATACCACATGACAGATGTCAGCCGGTTTCACGCGACGATATTTTGACTTCGTTACGCTCTCACAGCTTCGCTAAAAAAAACTCGCAGTCAGTGAAGTACCGCTAGAGAAGGAGTCTTCCAAGAAAAAGCTATGGATTATATAACTAGGAGTCAGAGCAAGACTCTACAGGCAAAACTATTGCACATTTACGGATTAGGTATTGATGCGCCTTAAAATCCATTATATTGAGCTCATCCGTTTCGTAGCAGGCGGAAATAACTGATTGTGAAGAAGCTGCACGCCCGAAAAAAAATCTTAGCTTTGAGAACGAAACTTCAAAAGAACTTCAAGCATACGGCATATGTAAGGCAGGGCCGAGACTCAAGTTCAGGTGGAGATAACCTTTAGAGGCTGGTTTGTGAGTTATTTAGATATTCGATATCGTTTAAATTCTGGTCGCTACGATTCTAAACGCGCAGCATTAACGAAACCTTAAATTGTAAAGAGATTTACTTCACCAATGTTTATTATTGGAGGATTCAAAATTAAATACGGACTCGTGCCCTTAATAAATCTTTGAATTTGGTGGAAAGGAATACTAGGCTAAAAATGGTCTCTTCGATTACCTAATGAACAGTAAATAGTTTTGCTCCCCATAGCCCTCGCTTAAAAACTTACTTTTCTCTTCCTCGGTTAGAGTTCTCTCCGATCCATAGACCAGAAACATGAGCAATAAGATTTTCCATAGCCAATTCATTGGATTTCCCACAATACTGTTTATCTGCAATGTGACATTCTAAAGTTTCGTAAAATTTCCTTAACAGGCAAATATCTCCTGAAGCACCAAATTTCATAGCGTCAGCCTCTTGATCCCAGATATCTATACGATACTTAAATAGGCCATGGCTAAATTATGTTTCAGCAGCTGTAGCATTTAACATGTACCAACTTCTGAAACATCGTTTTTGATGAGAATGATGCTTTTCAAGCGAAGAAAATCATCTGCATTGTAGATGCTCAAACGCCATGAAACAATGGACTACAAAATGGTGCTACAAGTTATCAAAAGCAAGGAGGCAGTGCGAAACGACGTGAAAACTAGTCTTGGAGAGTTGTTCGACTGTTAACACTCGCCAACTTAGGAACCCATACTTTTGATTATACTCTTTAATTATACAGAATAATATGAACGACTGCCACAAGCATTCATAGGAGAATCCTCGCAAGCGCCAATACAATTTTGATAGACGCATATAATGGCTTCAAATGGTGAGGAGGTTCGTAGCTTTCCAGAATCAGAGTGCACTCATCATGTCTAAGCACAAGTACGAACATTAGACCAGATTAGCGTATCATTCAGTTACGCAAATTCGATCTT